AGTATCAAAAAGAAAAGAAAAAAAGCACACACACACACACACACACAAATAAGGTCCTGTAACAAAAATACCATAGTCTGGGTGGCTTATAAACATCAAAATTCTAGAGGCTGTAAAGTCCTAGATCAAGGTGCTAGCAGATTCATTGTCTTAGTTCATGGTCAGCTTTCACTTGTCCTCACATGGTGGAAGGACAACGGCGCTCTCTCAGGCCTCTTTTATGAAGGCACTAATTCCAATCATGAGGGCTCCACCCTCATGAGCTAATCACCTCACAAAGTCTCACCTCCTAATATCATCACCTTGGGGTTAGGATCTCAACATATGAATTTGGGGGGCACACAAACATTGAGACCATAGCAGCTGCTTAGACAGCTATCCAGCTCTCTAGTAAGCATTATTTTCCAAAGCAGATTGTCATTATTTCTCTACCTGTAGTCTATGGGCTCCCTCAGCAATGGACCCTGGGTGATTCATCTCATTCTCTCACTTCCGTGGCACAAGTATGATGAATGATCTTCTCATAGAAAACCTCTCAGGCATTTGTTAGACATGGAAAATAATGTCCTGCACATCACTGTATGTATTTACAGGTGCTCTCAAACTTGTCCAAGACTTAATTAAATCAAGGAATTTATAAAATAATGACCCATTCATGCATTCTAGAACTCAGCCTTTCTCTGTTGCTTCTTTGTCAGTCTGCAGAATTTTCTAATAATCATATATTCAAGAGAAATATGCCAGTTCCTCCTGCGTCACAGAACACCCAGCCCTGGGTATCCCCTCACCTTTCCTGTTTCTCAAAGCTGATCTAATACGCTTATCTCTCTTACAGATCTGTGAGTGCCAGAAGACATAAGGCCCTTGGCCCTGGCCTCTGTGCTCAGGTCAAGAAGCCAAGGTGCCTCACTGACTCCTTGGCTCTATGCTCATCCTCACAGGAAAGACGCTGTTCTGCATCTCCACATCTGGTTCACAGTCTTCGCAAAACTCCCAGAGCTCCTCCCTCTTCCCCAGCATTTTCTCAGCCTTCCACACTCCTCTGTGCCTTTGAGAACAGCCTTTTGTTCACTTACAAGGAGGAATTTGCCACCTCATCAGCTCCAACCCAACCTCCCACCATCCTCTGGGCAGAGCCTTACTCAGAAAGAGGAGAAAAAGCAGATGGGAGGGGCTGAGATAATGGTGCCTGGTGGGACTGGCAAGGTGTACTGTACACAGAGTTCCAATGGAGCAGTGGGTCCTCAGGACTTCACTGCCCTCCTGGCTGGGTGACCTTGAACCTATCTGGACCCATGATTGCCTCGCCTCACAGTGCAAAGGAGCTGGACTACAGGATTCTGGTCCTTTCCAGCTCTGAACATATCAAAGCCTAATTATGACCCTAAGCATCTATATATGCAACAGAATTGTCTTGACACTTGTCTCTGGGTAGCAAAGTAATTGATTGTTTTTCTTCTCTGCATTTTTCAAATAATCCACACTAAGATTACATGACTGATGGGTTTGTATTTTGTGTGTTCACAAGCACAAAAGGTCTGACTCTAAAAAGAAAATAGAAAACATCTTTTTAGGAAAGTGAAAGAGATTTTAAAAATAAACACAGAGGAGAAAGAAAAGGACCGCTGGAGGCTCAAATCCAGCTAGTTTAGAAGCTCTGCAGGAGCAGTGTTAGCTGCAGGGTTTCCACCTTCCCAGGCTGAAAAAAGTCTTTGTTAACTCTCTGGCGCCATCTACTGACCACCCCAGAAACAACCTCTTAATTTGGTTTGCAAAAGAGCCCTGGTGAACAGCCAGTGAGATCACACTCAGGATAAAGCTTGCATTATATTTATAGGCAGGTCTCACCTCCAGCATTCACTTTTGTTTTTTGCCTTGCAGTAAGTCCTTCTAAGACCCCAGGATGGTCACTAAGGAGTCTCAAGCCATGGGGAACCCAGGAATGAGCCCAGTTCCCCTCCACTGCACTGAGGTCTGTAGAAGGGGAGGCACTCCTGGGAACACACTCTCAGCCTCCACCAGCTGTGTAGGGCTTGGTTTCATCTCCATCTGTCTCTCCCTCCTGGCTTCCCACAGATCCGTAACCTGTTAGTTTGGGGGCTAATTCAGGCCTTCAAGCATTCCCAGGGAAAGGAGAATGTCCTCCTGTTTGTCCCTCCATCTACTCATTAGTCCTGTCCTCCCACCTCCTCAGCAGAAGTGAGGTCCCTCGTCCACATTCATGAGTTTCAACTACAGGGCCCCTTCCCACAGAAGCTGCCTGGAAGAGACTGCTCTTCTGGAGGACACTAGACTTGTCCAGCAAGGCTTGCTTAGATATTGAAAGCATTTTCTGACTCCAATTCTAAAGGCATCTCTTGGAAACTTCTGAACTTCAAGATCGTCACGTCATTTTTATCAGTGAAGAGTAATGAGAAAGCCTATCCTTCCCAGTATGAAGGAGTGGCCCAAGAGCCCCTGATTGGTCCTACCAGGGAGGGAAGGGCTGCCATATTTGGAGGGCAGCAGGGAGGCCCCCTCCCCCTGGCTGCTCCTATATAGCTGGGCAGCCTGGCTGCCGGGAGGGTGTGCTGGAGGACCACAGCCCCGGGCTCCAGAGCTGCACTCTCAGCAGAGAGCCAAGGTAGGTGGGGAGGCGTTCCTGTGCTCAGGGTTGCTTGTTTCTAAGAAGATAGATCTGTACCCCAGGCTGAAAACTATGCAGTGACTTCTTTACACCTCCAGTCAGGGGGAACTTGTGACAATGTCCATTCATCACGGACCTTCCATTTCTATGATGCTACAAGAAAATGCTACTTTAGTTGGTTGGGATTTTTGTTCTTCTTTTAAGCCCTTGCCTATAAAAACAAAGTTCTTTCTCAATGCTGTGCTTTTATTTTTGGGACTTTGGCTCACCTTAAGGATCTATTATGTTATTATTCTTATTTGAAACATTTTGTTAGTGTATGCTAGTTGTACAGGGGGCTTCATTGTGACATTTCCATATCTACATATGTTGTACCCCGGTTTGGTTCATCCCCTCCATTAATCTCCCTCTGCCCCCACCCTCCTCCTTAAAATGACTTGGACAGGTTTCAGTGTTCCATATTCATACATGTGTAAAGAGTTATGGGCTGGTGACATGGGGTTCAGTCCCCTACTTAGGAGACTAATAAATGTTTGCTTCATGCCTGGATCTCTTTGGAGAAAGCCGGTCTGAGTTCACAGTGATTCAGGGCAGCAGGAGGTGGTGCTAGAGGCTGGCTGTCATGTGCAATGTCCACAGCTGGGACAGGTTGGGGGCTTCTGCAGCCTTCCAGAGATAACTGGGTGTGCTCTTAGGCTGGGTTTGGCCTTTACATACATACACACACACACACACACACACACACACACACACACACACATATATATATATAATGTACATTTTTATATAATTATATATGTAATTATAATTTATATATTTATATATTATATATATCTTATGTATATATTTATATATAATATATATCTTATGTATATATATTTATATATATCTTATGTGTATATACATATATATATATATTTATATATATTCATAAGAACTAGTGTGGCACCAGAGTTGAACTAAAGGAGCAAATGGAGCCCTTTTGGAGATGAGGCAGGGGTGGCAGAGGGCACGTCACGGACCAAGCAAGCTGCCACTCAGCCTCTTACAGCTCTGGTGCTTCATGAGCTCACAGTAAGTCTTCATCTCAGAGTCAGCTCTGGCAGGTCCCTTATAGAACACTTCCTGTGTCCCTGACCCCCCCAGATGAAAGTCCAGGTGCTGGAATGCCCTGACTGTTGACCTTGGGAGGTGAATTTCCGCAATGGCCATTGTAGTTTAGAAGCCAGATGTGGCAGGCTACCAGGATTAGGATGAGGAGCGAGGATAATTCCATGACATCAGCACCCCTGGGGCCACCTTGATCCAGGACCCCCTTGTACTTCCCCCAGGCCCTGCTAACCTCTCCTTTCTCTCATTTCCTCGAAAGCCCTCAGAGGCCCTGCTCTTTGCTTGGCCTAGAGGCCCTCACGCCCCAATGGCTCAAAATGTGAGCACCATTCCCTCCTGAAGCCTTGAGGGACAGTAGAGGACAATTGGTGGCATGCGGAGTCAGCTTCAGAAAGAACTGAATTCAAATCTGTCACCTCCTTCTGTGTAGCTTTGGGCAGATTATTCAATGTCTCTGAATCCCACAACAACTTTGACAAAAAATAGGGATAATGATGTACCTATCCCATATAAGAATTGCGTTAGGCCATGTCACAGAAGGGCTTTACACAGTGACATGTGGTAAGCATGCAATAAAAAAAACTAGAGTAACTGGCAGAGTAGCTCAAGTGGTAAGAGCATCTGCGTAGCAAGCATGAAGACCTAAGTTCAAACCCCAGTGCCACCAAAAAAACTAGAGTAGACTGAGCAAGGGGGCACTGTCCCCTGAGGGTCAGATTGGAAAAGATAGTACACATTCTGACCCTTTAACTAGGGGAGAACAGAACCCCTTAATTACATTTCCATCTTTCTTCCTCTACTCTTTTATTGCTGCAAAGTCCTTTAAGCAGTTTCTTAGATGGGTGGCAGAACATGTCTAAGGCAGAGCCAGCTTGGAGCAATAGAGAATAAAGGATTAAAAATACAGTAGCATCTGATTCCAACTTTTTTACCTCCCAGGGGCCCCTTGATTAGAAAGACTTGGGAGCACCAAAAAACTCTGTAGGCATCAAGTCATTACTTGTTCATATTCAGAGCCTTTCTAATTGCCAGGGGCAGCTTCTTATCAGCCTGAGAAAAGCTAAGACGAGGCCTTGGTGGGTATAATTCCCAGCCAAAGCAAAGCAACTCAGCTGATCCTGTGCAGCCCAAGCATGGGAATAGTTTAATGGCACAAGGATGTCATTCCCTAGCTTACAGTCTGCTGCCCTGGGAGGGTGGGGGAGGCTGCGAAGCACAGTGGGAAAGTTGACCACCCACCCTTACTCTCACAGATTTTGACACGATGAAGAGGCCTCTGGGTGCATGGTGGTTGGCCATCGTCTGTGTCCTGCTCTTCAGCCACCTCTCCGCGGTCAAGGCGAGAGGCATAAAGCACAGATTCAGGTGGAACCGGAAGTCTGGGTCCAGCAATGCTCATGTCACAGAAGCCCGCATAGCTGACAACCGCCCAGGAACATTCATCAAGCAAGGCCGGAAACTGAACGTCGACCTCGGAACCGAGGGCAACATGTATTACGAGGCCAACTACTGGCAGTTCCCTGACGGGATCCACTACGATGGTTGCTCCGAAACCAATGTGACCAAGGAGATGTTCATCACCAGGTGCATCAACGTCACCCAGGCAGCTAACCAGGCAGAGTTTTCCCGGGAGAAGCAGGACAAGCTTTACCAACGGGTCCTGTGGCGGCTGATCAAAGAGCTGTGCTCTGTCAAGCACTGTGATTTCTGGCTGGAAAGGGGAGTGGGAATTCAGGTCACCGTGAACCAGCCTGTGATGCTCTGCCTGGCCGTTCTCATTTGGCTCATCGTTACATAGGCTTGCCACAGAGATGATGTGTGAGCAAACCATGGAGAGAGAGGTACCCCAGTTCTCCCCTGACCTGTACCCCATGTATCCTGAAGGTACCAAAGAGCAGTGATTCATCAGTGCCTCAAATCTCACTCCCAAGTATTCGCCCTGGTGTTCATTTGTGTTTAATAAGTGTGTCAATCCCCTGACATGCTCTATCAGGGGTGGAGCTATGGCTTGTTTTTCATTGCATTCTCAACAATGAGGGGGGTGTCTGGCACACCATATTAGGCAATAGATGTTTGGTGAATTGGTAAAAGAACACATCTGGAACTGTGCCAAGCACTTCACCATACTTCCCAAAAGATAGGTGTTATTCCTGTTTTACAGATGAGGAGACTGAGACTCAGAGAGGTGAGATAGCTCGCCAGAGTCCCGTCGCTAGAAAGTGGCAGATCTGGGATTCAACCATGGCCTAGCTGACCTCAAGTTTTCTGTTCTGTTTAATCCCAGAGCTGCCTCATTGATCACTTTATGGCGCTCAACCAAATCCAACCATACATCTTTAATGGCACTGTGGAAGTTCTGCTCTTAGAAACAGGCGAAAAGAACTGAGTCAACAGCTCTGTGCTTTGATATCTGTAACTTGGAAGTGTACTTTAATGCTTGTAGTTAAACTAAAATATAACAAAGGGTTTAAACTAAAATGAAGAGAAAGCTAGACAAAGGCCTAGAAATCAGATGGTAAGGAAATTCCCAGAGACCAGATTTACAGCAGGGTGTCTGTGCCACCAAGATTCTTTTTCACAAGAAGATCAAGTGTTTGTTGTTCTCCTTCCTGGAGTAGTCTGTTCATTTAAGAAAAAAAAATTATGGTCTGTGTCTTTAAGAAATAGTCTTATTTCTATTAATAGTCTTCAATAATCTGTTTTGTTTTGGAAAAAAATGCTTGTAAATTACATGCTTGCTTCTAGCATTCTCCTAGCACTGTATGCGTGTTGTCATGTACACCATCTGAGTGTCTTTAAATATCCTCCCTTATGTGTGCCCTCCACCATCGCTATCAGTCCTCCTAACACCTTTGGCAAGGGCTGTCAACTCTGTAAATCACTCATAACTACAAAATGCAATTACTCACCACAAAGGCTAAAAAGAAATGGTGTCTTTAGAGAGACCCAGTAAAGAATTCAAACCTGTCACAAGCAAGAGTCCATACATCACACTACATGTTAAAATACCCATTTTAAAATATGAATATCATTTAAGTACAATTATTAATCTAATGGTCTCAGATGCTCCCACAGGCCTTCTGGGGTCCTCTCAGAGACCCCCAGGAGTTGTTGAACCATGTTTGTAGATAACTGCTGCTGAGTATTGTCAATTCTCTCTCTCCCTCCCTCCCTCCGTCCCTCTGTCTTGTCTCTCTCTAAATATATATATATATATATATATATATATATATATATATGCATATATATATATATATGTTTGTTTGTTTTGTTTTTTGAGACAGGGTCTTACATGTTACCTAGGCTGGCCTTGATCTCATGAGCCTCCTGCCTCATTCTCAAAAGTGCTGGGAATTCAGGTGTGTGCCCCCATGCTGGCTATCAGTTTTGGGAAAGTGTGATTTGTGGGAAGGTTTGTCTCAAGCCTTTCAGAACACAAGTGCTAATAATGGTGCCTCTTGTGCTGAGCTCCCCTGCTATCATCCTTCCCAAGGATCCATCTGGAAGGCTTCACCTCAGAAGGCCAGTGAAGAACGGCTTGGGGTGGGCAGCCCAGGGAAGCTGCCGGCCTCCCACTGACTTTTCCACCCATGGGAGGCACAGTGGGGAGAAGTCGCAGTGGCTCTGCTGCAGCTGGAGGGAAGCTCACCTTCTGTTCCCACCATCCTGCTAATCTAAGAAGAAGCACACAACACAGATCTTTCTGCGTGCCATTTAAAAAAATGACAACGATAATAAAGAAAAAAGTCTTAGATGGTGATGTTGACATTCAACTCTAATTACCAGGCCACACACAGCCACAGCAGCCAAATGACTTTGTTCCCGCTGTGAGAACACTTAGGCCCTGAGGTAGCCATGGTCTGTAATTGCTGTCTCTTCTCAATTCATTAACAGTCCCACAAAGCAGGTTTAAGTGGGGTCGGAAGTGAGTTTGCACATGGTGGTCCAAATGCCAAGTTTGTTCGTGGAGTTTTTAATTGAAACTGTGTGTACTCAAACATCCTTGCTCCTGTTTACAAAGTATGAGGTGGACTTTTTGAGTCTGACTAAGAGTTATGGGGTGCCTACTGTGTGAGAGACACTGTGAAGCACTCCTGAAGTATTCCTCATGTAGTCATTTTACAACATGAATCAATTCATCAACTATTGCTTTCTTGACCCCTCCAGGTGCTGTCTTGTTCAAATAGAAGTTTATATAAAAGTGGCATTAAAATTACAACATAAATCCAAAACAAAAGCTGACAACTCCAGCATCTGATTATGTCTGTTTTCATTTCTCTATAATCTCCTACTCCTCATATTTGCATATGCAAATGCACACATTTGCAATAATAATACAAGTGAGCTTTTATAGCCTAAGTTTTTGCTTCATTTGATGCTTTTTGTCTATTTTCCTATGATTTTTAGTTTTTGGTGGTACTGGGTTTTGAACTCAGGGCCTCACATTTGTTAAGTAGGTGTTCTACCACTTAAGTCACTCCATCAGCCCCACTATGATTTTTGTTTTCTTTTTTACCCATCCTCACCCCCTAGGGTAAAGCTTCTATCCTTTACTGTGCTCAGATGTAAATGCAAGAACGTTTTACTTCAGTACACTTTTTTTAAATGCTATAATTATACAGATAATATTTATTCCTCTGCCATTTGCCTGCCCAGCTTAACACAAAGCTTGAAATCTCTGGGTCAGCAGCTAACTAATTAGTTAATATGTCCTTTTCAATGTAAATATTCCATAATACAGATATACTATGATTGACTTAATCGTTTTCTTGTTGATGGACTTTCCAAATGCTTCCAGTTTTTTGCCACTGCAAACAATAAACATCCTTATTCATACAATCTGGCAGCCTGGTACTTTTATTTCTTCAGAGTAGAGTCACATGTGCAGAATTTCTGAAACAAAGCCTATGTGTAATTCAATTACTAGCTATGACCCAGTTATGTTCTCATGTAGCTGGGGCAACTCCCACTCCCATCAGCAGTGGAAATGAAATCCCAACCCACCAACCCTCAGTAGCATTTTATTGTAGCATCAAAGCATAGCAATGGCACTAACTTATGGAATGGCATTAACTCAGGAGAGTTTCTATGTCACTTAAATAAGAGAAGCTGTCTTTTCTACAAATGCTACTGTGAATCTTCTGTCCTTTGCAGATGGACCCAAGGGACCATCTGAATAAACTCTTAGCAGTTCCCATTCATTGTCTCAAAACATCTGGAAGAGAAATCTGGAACCTAGGCAGTGAGTGTGTGGGCTTCCTGCTTGGAGGACATTATGTCCACACAACCAGGGAACCCCTGGTGTATGGCGTTAGTATTTGCATTCCAGCAGGAATGACTTCTCCATCAGAAGACTGAAAAGGAGCAGATATGGAGCACACCATATCTCCTCCCCTCTGAGCTTGCACAGATGATTGGCATCTCCCAGAGTTCCTTGTGTCACCTCTTGCCCACCCCCCAGCCTAGGATGGACCTGACCACATTGGGAAGCTCTGCTTCTGGGCCTAGTGAGGTGTGTCTTGAGTAGAGGCTGTAAGTCTGTCTTGAGCTGCCCATATCCCCTTCCCCAAGCTCTCTAAATAGACACTGACTGGCTAGAGAGGTGGTGGCCCAGTGAGTCAGGGACCCCAGAACCTGCTTCATACCCACAATGTGGTAGCCTCTTCGACCTCCACATTTTCCTCATTGCTGGATACAGATACTCAAAGGAGGTTGTGCGTTCCCCCAGGGCACATTCTGGAGTAAGTTAGGGTCTCTACTGAAATGCTGACAGAAGTCTGGGGTTATAGCTCAGTGGTTAAGCATTTGCCTAGCATGCACAGGGCCCTAGGTTCGATCCCCAGTACCACACACACAAAAAAAGAAGAAATGAAATGCTGACAGAAGGACCCCATGCCCACAGACAGGCAGCATCATGATAGTCCACACAGGGCAGACGAATGACCAAAAAGACTTACACTGATGAGGCATTGTGCCAAGTCTCAATGTCACCCACTGGAAGCTCACACAATGCTCTGTTGAAGAGCTGACCTCTTGGTAAGCCTGGCACAGACCAATGGCTGTGTGTTTGCCTTCCCTGCCCCAAGGTCATGAGTCAGAGACAAGAGCAGGGCTCTCCTCTTATCCTCGGCCACCAGCAGACTTGCTTCAGTTGGACACCTAGCTTTCCTGGTGGAAGGGAAGGGAGCCAAACCCCCACACCACTGGGAATATAGGTCTGTGTGAGGTGGGGACTAGGTAGTATGTCTTTGAGACAGCTCTAAGCCTGTTGTTCTAGACTGTCCAAAGCCTACCCTAGAATAACATACTCAGCTGTTTCCTTGAGGAATTCAAACCTTCATTTGGACTCGGTTTTGTGGTGGGGGCAGTTCTCACCCCTTAGCAGGAACAAGTACCAAGAAAGACCAAGACTCCATCCTCTGGTCCCTAAAGCCCTGAGACCACTCTCACACAGTGAACTCTAGAACCCAGTAGATGGGGGGACAATCTGTTTCTCTAGCTTCATGTGAGAGGCTTCAGACTGGAGTGAGTCCCACCAACTGAACACCCCTTCTAATGGGGCCTTCCTGGTCAGCACAAAGTTGATCCCCCAAAATTGCTCACCATCCTATACTCAAGTAGCACTGCCCCCTACCCCACCCCAAACACCATGCCTTCCCCATACCCTCGTCTGAATTCCAGTACCTTCTTAGGGCCTCCCACCGCTGCCTAACAGGGGGATTCCCAGATCTTATTTAAATGTGGAAAAGCATTGCCTTCTTAGACAATATAGATTGTTTTAACTCCAACAGACTTGGC